CTATTTTCTAAGAGTAAGAAATGCGCTCAAACAATCTAGCCCAAATATAAAAGAAATGGAAATCAACACAATCTGGTTGATATGAGGCGATTATGGACCCTGACAACCGGTCTGTGTCTTACATATGATAAGGTTACCTTACCTCGGGAGTTACTAACTGAAACTCCCCTCGGGAGTTACTAACTGAAACTCCCCCGATGAATGATACGCGCCCAGTTTTATAGTCGAGACATGCACGTGCACGATCGTTGATTGGCTTGCATACGCCAAGCAAGAAGACAAATGGATGAGTTTGGGCGACTGGTTTGAAATTCTTTATGCACTTCGGGCGACACTACCACACTCAGTTTTAAAATAGGAATTTATTGATGCCTAGTACTGGCATTCAATCCCAATATAGGATAGTGATGGTGCTTAATCCTATAGGAACAAAGTGATGGCCAATCCCAAAATACGAATATAATGATGAGTGGTTCAAGTGTGGAATCTCAAATAATTATATTTCTACAATATGGATGTCATGTGGATAGAGAAAAATCTCAACTGCACAATCTACAAAAAAATTTTTTAGAGGCTTAAAGCCATTTTGTTGGGACACTGTACCTTCAAATTTAGAATAGACTGTGGGCTGGTAGATGTATTCAGATATGATGTCTGCTATAAAACTTGTGTTTATAGGTACAAGGGCTCAAATTTTAATTAGCTCTTTACTTTTTGTTTTCTATGTTGTATGAAATTGTTAAAATAGCCTGCAGTATGTTTGTAAGGTATAGGTAGATGTAGAGGGTGGTTTCCTACATAAACAGGGAATATTTTCTTTGTCATTAAAAGGCCACAAGGCAATAATGGGTGTATTGTATTTGTAAAGTGAGAATGGTTGAAGGCAGTTATATTATATTTATGTGTTTGTGTCTGTTTGATGGTATTAATCAGTGGATAGTTTTTCTTGCCCTAGGATAAAGTAAATGATAGGAGGATAAAAATAAAATACATCCTATTTCTAAACAATAATCTACTGTTATATAGAGTAACAATATTATTGTTATTGTTAGAAATTAATCTCCTAGATTTACAATTATCATTATAATAAAATATATTAAATTTCTTTTAAATTTGAATAATTATCTTAATTTTCCTTTTTTTAAGAATAAAAGCTAAATGTTAACAATTATAATAACAAAATTTTCATGCCTTTAAAATTACGGACTGGTCATAAAAGTTTGCGCCCCCTCCCCCCCCCTCTCCTTTCCCCCCAAGTGCATATAAATATACATAAGTGCTTTAGACATTTCCAAACAAAAGAAAAGTGTGATGGGTCAATGACATGTCATTTATAAAATCATACAATATGCAAAATAGAATGTAAAGAATGAAATGGATTTAGAGTTTATAGAGAAAAGTTTATGGTAAATTTCATGCCAAAAAATTGAAAGAAAAAAATAAATATCAATCTTACACCATTACTTTTACATGAGAAAATACATAACATATACAAGTGTAGAAATTGCAATGAAAATAACAAGAAGCAAGGGAAAATTTGGCCCCATTCCTGATAATATTAAAACTGGGTAGGATTATCTTGGCTAACAAAATCTATATGTCATGTCAATTTAAATCTGCACTTTCCTGACATCAAAACTTATTAATACTATCACTTTATTATCTATTTTCTTACTGCATATATGCAAAAACTTCTATTTAGAGATAACAATGAATAGAGTTTAATTACAACAGCAAGTCTTGATGTTTGATAAGAATGATGTCTGTCTGGGAGGAGTATGATATCTTTAATTACCTTTCATTTAATTCCATAACCATAACAAAAATCTAATAATAACCCCTCGAATAACCAAAAGCATTACAAAAATCTAATAATACCCCCCCCCCCCCAATAACCAAAATATTTACAAAAATCTAATAATAACCTCACCAATAACCAAAATCATTAAAAAAAAAATCTAATAATAACCCCTCCAATATCCAAATTCATTACAAAACTCTAATAATAACCCCACCATTAACCAAAATCATTACAAAACTCTAATAATGACCCTATCTCCCCAAATATTAAAAAAAAAACGCCTGAAAAACAAAAAGATAATTTCTACAAACCACGATACAAAAAGCAATACACAGACAACAAAATCAAATGAAAAAAGCACTAAAAGGAAGATAAGCAACAACATACATAAAATAAACAACCATATGCCAGCGGATCTCATTTTAAAATAGAAAAGATAACATTGCTGGTGGTAGATTTCTTACCTAATCGCATCCAATCTATTTATAGCAGCCATATTGTTAAAAGAAGTATATAATATTAATGATGATTTACAACAAGATTAATATCTAAAACAGACATTTCACATTTATCACAGTACCTATCTAGATTTTATCACACGCATTTACATCATAAAATGCAATTCTGCTCATTTCTTTTTACACCAATCACAACAGAAAGCAACCAATGACTTCATAAAAGTGAGACAAACATCTTAATTATATTAGATGATATGATTTTTCTGTAATGGTAGTCGCAGAACTAAGATTTGACCAGGATAAAAATGAAAATATCTAAAGTTGTAATAACTTGCCAAATTAAACAAGTGCATGCTGTTATTTCTTATCTAATGATAACATGTACTAATATACATGTAAAAGTAATATGTCTCCTTTCTACAAAATCAACTGGTTTTATTTTCTGTCATTGATCAGAGCAAGGCATTAAGTAATATACTATTCAAAAAAAGTAGGGGATATTTGATTTTGGGGGCATAATACTAAAATATGGAAATGACTACGAAAAAAGTCACTATAGAACCTAACAGAAGAAACATTTCCAGTTACATGTGACGCCCAAACGCACCAATAGCTACCGCATGGAATGCAGGTGATGCTTGTGATCATCATGGGGGTCCAACCCAAGATTTGCACGACTCTGACTTTGAATGTTACAGTCATTGTGGCATTGAATTCCAGGGTGGAAACATCAGTTTAATTGTTTTAGTGACCAGAAAACAAATTTTGATATGCGTCGGCTTACCCAAAATGAAAGGTTACATGCCCTTGGAATGCTACAGATCGGCACAACACAGGCGGTTGTGGCGCGGACGATGAATGTTTCTCAGTCTGTCATAAGCAGGCTATGGTCCAGATACCGTGATACACAATCTGTACAGGACAGACCACGCTCAGGTCGACCAAGGGCGACAACTCAAGCCCAGGATCGATTTATCCGTACCTTGGCCTTGAGAAATCGTGTCATCACAGCAAATCAGATCAGCGCTCGTCTTCAAACAGACACTGGTGTGAGAGTGAGTGGCCAGACGATTCGGAATCGACTGCATAGGGGTCACCTTCGCGCCCGACGTCCTCGCGTGATCCCTTGTTTGAGAGATCATCACATTCAGGCAAGACGTCGTTGGTGTAGGGATCGTCAACACTGGGATAATCGACGCTGGAGCAATGTGATGTTTTCAGATGAGTCATGGTTCACTGTTGATTTTTTGGACAGACGTAGGAGGGTGTGGCGTCGTCGAAACGAGCGCTTCCAAGACGTTAACGTCATCAGACATGATCGATTTGGGGGTGGTTCTGTTATGGTGTGGGGAGGCATCACTGTTGCTGGAAGAACGGCTTTACATGTTGTTGCAGGGCGTGTTACAGGCCAATACTACCGGGACAACATCTTGGCAGTCCATGTTGTGCCGTTCGCACGACGTCATGGCCGCCGTTTCATCTTCCAGGATGACAACGCAAGATGTCACAGGGCCAGGATCGTTACAGGTTACCTCCAACAACAGAACATCACCACATTACCTTGGCCAGCACTGAGTCCCGACCTCTCCCCCATCGAGCATGTCTGGGACATGCTTGGACAGAGGTTACGTCAACGTCAACAACGTCCTGCCAATGTCCAAGAACTTGCTGCTGCGTTGCAACAGGAATGGGACAATCTGGACCAAAATGACCTTAGACGTCTCATTAGGAGTATGCCACGTCGGATCAATGCTTGTTTGGCAAACAGAGGAGGATTTACCCGTTACTGACTTGGTTGTGATGCTGTGGTAACTTTGCTGTTTGACCCCGGGTATCATTTTACCCTTATAATGGTCAGTCTGTGCCTTACTTAGTCTAACGATCATTTGGAATAAATCGATGAATGTGAACTTCATTTCATTTTGTCATTTGTTTCTTCGTCAGTTTCATTAGGTGACTTTAATAACACTTAAAAATCAAATATCCCCTACTTTTTTTGAATAGTATATATTGAAACAACACTCGAGCAATGTCTTAGGCTCGAGACCATTAAACAACTTAACATACAGACACTTGCACATGCTTTGCAATGAAATACGTCACATGGGTCCAAAATTTTAACTAGTATAAATAACATACTCTTGGCACACGGCCTGTACCATTATTTGAAATAATGATACGTCAACATGAAAGGATGATGTCACATCTGTATTTTAATATAGTTTAATGCATCCGTTCAATTTAAAGTCAGTGCCTAATTTTTAAATTTTCAACAATGTACTTTTACTATTATGTGCATTAATGGTTGGTGTATTAATATATAAATCCAAATAAATTTCCACGAAACAAAAATTTGGCACTTGTTATCTGTTCTTTTAATTTGCTGAATAAAGCTTTCAAACACTGTTCTTAATGTGGTTTGAAAATCTCAATTTTTCATGTTTACAGAAGCACAGCTAATTAAATTTAGAACACAAAAAAACAACACGCATATTTTGGCACACAGTTGCATGCCAGCTAACAAAATGGAATAAGTTAATCAAATCATGCACTTGTGAGTTGATATTATGCATTTTCAAAATTCAATCTCACTCACAAGAATTACAAGACATTTCTGTATTATCAAGCTTTACAAATATTTTTAAACTATGTCTACGGAAATTGAGTTTTTGTTAAAGGTCTGTAAGCAAATATTTTGTGACTCTTAATATCAATTGAAAAAAAAAAATGTGTTCACCTACCTTTATCTGATACTTTAAAGAAGAAACTATCACTTGTAGCATTGATTCCTGTTCGTAAGACATATTCTATATTCTCTTGATTAATATCACCTGAAATAATAAAATATTGAATATTATTCAATACTGTTAATAGTTTTATTCATTTCCATTTATGGAATGTACATACTGATGTACATACTTTTTTTTTTTTTAGTTTTAGTGATGTACATACTTGATGTTTTTTTGAGTTTTAGTAATGTACAGACTTGATGATTTTTTGAGTTTTAGTGATGTACATACTTGATGTTTTTTTGAGTTTTAGTGAAGTACATACTTGATGTTTTTTTGAGTTTTAGTGAAGTACATACTTGATGTTTTTTTGAGTTTTAGTGATGTACATACTTGATGTTTTTTTTGTTTGTTAATGATTGTTTGTTCTGTTTAACATTTGTTGTGCAATTTTTGTCCATCAAAGACAGTTTATGAAAATACAAAGCATTGCAATTTAATACATAATCAGCATTTTATCTGTAATTTTAATATGCGATATACTCTACAAGTAATTCCAAGAAGAAATATTCCAACTTGTAAGTGACAAGAGTAGGGTCACCTGTCCAACCTCATGGGTTTTCTCCGGGTTCTCCAATTTCCTCCTGCTGCTAAGCTCAAGCGAATTATTGAAATAAAATTGAACCATACGTTAACCATACGTTAGTAGTCGAGTGGATGTTAAACTTCATTTCTCTCTCTCTCCAAGAAGAATTAACTCCATTTCAAAGTGTAGTTAAAAGTTTAGAAATAAATCACTTGGAAAGGTGGGGGTGTTTTTTTTGTTATTGGCTATAAAATATGGTGTATTGAAGTTTGAAATAACGAAACCCTTGATTTGATGGGGGTTTTTTCTATTGAAGTCATCAATCACTATCATTCACTGGACAAGATGTGTTTTTTTCCAAATCTAAGAGTTGTCAGGAAGCCAATTTTTCAATGCCATGTACCAACAAAACATATTAGTCATATAAAAGCAAACTTATTTCTAGTATGTTAACTTAGTGTCAGAAATTAGATTCATTGCCCACAGAATGTTTATCTTGAAGTTGGTAAAACTTTTCCCACCACCATTTTTACACAGACGGCAAATAATAAGGCTGGTGGATGATGAAGAAGACATATTGTAAGTTGTTGAGTCAATATGGACTTCACGCTAAGATGATACGTAGGGATAAGTATATATATATAATAGACAAGTAGACTGTATATACATATTGGTACTTGTTTAAATATGGTTGCTACTAAAGCACAGATTGTTTGTTTCTTGTTAGAGTTCTGCGTCTGCTTCTCCAACCAATTGACTCAACCCCCTAGTACCATATTAATTGCAATTCGACTATGTCTTGAGATGATAGGTAGAGAAAATAAACTGCTTGTGGCTTTCTAATCATTTGACTCTAACTTCTGATGTATCCAGACGAGTAAACGAGGAGTAATTCATGTAAAAACAAGATAAGAAAAGATTGACACTAACCAGAAGAACAGACTGACCACCATAGAATTATAAACCCATGTCCAGATACCTACCCAAATAAATAAACTAACTAGTCTAAACATTGATATACTTAGCTGCCCAGCACATTTTTGACATGTTCATTTTGTTTCAGACCTTACTTTACATGCATTATCTTGTAACCCTCCACCCACGAACAGCTTTAATTCTTTCATTACAGACAAATAATAGTATAAGACAAAAAACTCAACTTAAGTCATCTTCACAGAGCTAACAAATAAAAGTAGCAAGTTTCCTGATGAAAATGAAATGGGGTTTAATGTTCTACTGTTCTGCTCCAACTGGGCTAATGAAGCTGGGATTACACCATACAGTGTGCTATGAGGGTACTTTTGCACGGTCAGCAGTGGCCTACTCTTACACTGAATTACAACTGCCAAGGGATCTTTTATGTGTATGCCAATGTGTACAGGGGACCTTGTTTTTTTGTTCCATCCAAATGACTAGACAGCTGTCCTTGTCAGGCCCTCCATACTGCACCACCTGACAAGGGGGAACCACGCCAGAAAATCACGATAAACTTTCTTGGCCAATACTGGGATCAAACCCGCGACCTCCAGTCTAGCAAGCCAGCGTCTTACTCACTTAGACACCATGGCTCCCGTTTCCTGATGGGGAACTCAGAATTTTGGTTTTAAAATATGTCCAGCGTCTCATCACAAATTCATGACACATGCAAATGAAACAAAAACAGAACCTAACAAAAATTCCTGCCCACATGGGGATTTGAACTTGGTGCACTTTATTTGCAAGTCCCGATTCCTAATTATACAACTGCCACAGACCCAACACACATATCTGTTAATGAAACAAAGTTAATTATGAAAATTGGATGTTATATCCCAGTAATTATCATAATGAAATTTAAAATCATCAAACCCAATCAAAGTCCAAACAAATGAATTTTCAAACATTCCAACCACAACCATGACCTTTATGGTCTGAAAACTTTAATGCTCCATAAATGTTCATTAAGAAATTTTTTATTTCATGATTAAGCTTGGTTACAGAACTTGAGAGCTTTAAGTAATTTTAACTGACAGATTCCAGAAGACTTCAATGTCTGGCCCAGCGGGGTTACATTTCAACTAAACCCAAGAACAAACAACTACATACTGGGCTTGTTCAACAACCTGGAAGTGCCTCTGTGTTACAGATGGACAAAATTCTTAATAAAAACCAAAATAAGAACAAAATTAACTTATGAAACAGACTTCCAGGAACATCTGGCAATATATTTTGTAATTTAAAAAGAGTTCAATCAGAATTGAATTAAGGCCAAGGGATCAGTTTCTGCACTCCTACAAACGCAGCGAGAGAGCATTTTGACATATTATATCTATGACTATCCCAAAACACATACCTAATTCCAAAAATCAATCCTATCCCACTGGATTTGTGTTTTTATGTTAATAATTAAGTTGTGTTATAAATTTGCAGATTTCAACTCAAGGGAGCATGAATATAAGCATAATTATAAATAGTAACTTTAATGTTTGGGGCCAAAGGGAATCTAAATATTTATAATGAAATATTGTTTATCTACAGTTCCCCAAATGTTTATATTTGAAGTTAAACTCTTGTCTTACAAGATGACCCAACATAACATATGGTTGTTAAAAATAATGTAATAAATAAGAAGAAATGTCAATCTTGTTGAAGCGCTTGTGATAAGTTACAATTATGTATTTACTATATATCAAAACAAATTGGTATATCTTTTTACACCAATAATTCTGTGACCTAAAACATCAACTGTAAGATAGACAGATGATGAACATTTCCACACCTACAGTAACATTATCTCATTAAAGGTAACATTATAGAATATATATCATAGTAAATGACAAATATATTATAGCTATATGGCAGTCGACTTATAGAATAAAGGTAAAGATATTAACTTTATTACTAACAAATAATGGCATAATAAGCTATTAATATATGATAGGTCACTGTGACGGATTCAACCTTAATCCCATAAAAAGCCTATCATTACAAATGTAAAGAAAGGGTTAGGAATAAAATTTTCGGTTAATCGCCTTTTACAGCTGAAGTTGTTTATCTTGCCTGATTAAAAATGTCAAAAAGCTCATCCAGTTGAAATATGAAATATGAAAAATATATATATCCATATAGATTTGAGGAAATCATGTATTGGTGAGGATTATACAATGATTTTAAACAAGGCTCCACACAGAATGTCTTCAAACCTTAAGTTGCTGATTGATATATGCTGCAATGCATGGAAGTTTACCATAGCTAAATAACAAGTGTAACATTCGTTATGAATTTAAGCACAAGACAAAGTGTTTAGTTTGGAGTTGTAAATATATGGGGAACCCTGAGTTGTAAGTATCTGTATTCTCCTTATATAGCTCACCAGGATAGATGAAATGTATACACCAACTAAACTGAGGCTTGTTATGAAGAGAAAGAGAGAAAATGAGGTTTAACGTCCACTCCACATGGTTCAATTTTATTTCAACAATTCACCTGCGTGTAGGGGTCTTTAGCAGTGTGAGGTAACCACTTTAGCAGTGTGAGGTAACCAGAGGTCCAGTAGAAAACCTATGAGGTTGAACGGGCGAGGGTTGTTATGGAAAATATACACAAACAATATACCTATGGTATGTGGCAAATTAAACAATTTGACAAAATCTTATTTGTTCTTACATGAAGTCGGACAGCCAGACTTATATGAATCAGTCAAGATTTAGAATTGGTAAACCAATTGCTGGCTGAAAAGTTTCTCATTCATCTATTCTGTCTATTTTATAACTACAATTAGTGAATGAAGAGTTTGTTAAACTGATAAAAATTCTTATATTACATACTTCAGTTCTTGGCCAGATGTTAAATCACCCTTGTACAAGTTTAGCAGACATGAGACCACCCTTGGTAACATCTATAAATACTGGCCAAGGAGTAAAAAATTTGAACATCTGTTGCTAGAATACGGAACAAGCCTCCAAATTTTCACTTAACTCACCCCTTTAATAAAACATGAAAAAAACAAGCTCTGGTTGTTGTCAGTTCTGGGGAATTATCAAAAGAAAAAGAAAGTAGGGTAGAGATATTGTCTATGTAAATCACAGCAAGTCAGAAGAGGGTATGGTTGATCAGAAAGACAGGTTTATGGGTTTCGGGCTGAATCCTGACAGTTCATCAGAAGACACAATCTTTCCAATTCGTAGATGTAGCAGTGTTTCAATGGCATGAAGAACTATAGCTTAGTTAAATGATTTACACATGGTTTAATAGACTTGACTTTATGTCAGTTAGTATTATCATAACTTCTTCTTTTACTTTCAGTTTAAATAGTCGTTAAAAGATGAGAAGGTTTTCTCTTATCATTAACTCTTGTTTGCCAATTAACTTAAAAGAAAGGGTCAAATTACTTGAATTCTCTTGAATCATCTACAACCAGGATAAAAGAGAAAAAGTCACAGATAAATAATAATGGTTACTTTAAGGTGTGCCTGATATTATTTTTCTTATTATATAAAACAAGACTGATGTTGAGAACCAGCCGTTTCATTCAAGT